TTTGACAGGTGGTATTCCAGAACTCGATGATATAAATACATGGAAAAATCTAAAAGACACATCGAATCAGCTTTACCAGACACATATTGTATATTAACTCTTAGATATCTCAAACATCCCTCTTTGGGGACTATCTGCAAAAAATGTCTCCTTACCTCAGCACATCTCACTCATTCTGCAGCTCCCTAGGTAAAGGAGCAGGCAGGGCACCAAATCTGCTGTGGGGTCCCTCTCCCTGCCTCTTTAGGATAATAGTGGGGTTTTTTGCACTTTCCCAGCATTCTCAGTGTGTGTCTCCTTGCTAGACCAATAATAACAAAACCAATCTGAGTTTTTTCCCTCTCATGGTGCAATCTCCATTATTTTACCGGGTTTAGTTTCCTGGTAGGTAACTTAGAGCAAATGTTCCTGAACCAAGAGCAGCTCCTGTTCCAGTCTCTCACCAGGCAAGTGAGCATGAGTCTTCCCTCAGTTCTGTACTCCTCTCTCCTTTCCCCCTCTGTAGCAGGCTCATAGGACACAGGCTCCTGGTCCTGAGGGAGGTCCCTGGCAGGCTGCTCCATCCTCTGTATTTGAGCATTAAATGTGCCTCTTGAGGCTGCATTTTCTGTATCCTGCAGTTTGCACCATCTTCACTGGGTACCAGTTGAGAGTACAGGAAGCCACCAGAGAATGGGCTCCAGAGAGTGAACTAGCTTTGTGATCCTGAGGTTGTGGCCTCAGAGACAGCTCAGCTCAGTCCTAAAAGAGGTCAAAGGTGGGGAAAAATGGGAACATGTGAAGTGGGGAAAGAAGAAGCAGAGAAAGATGGGAGGATATAGGAGAAGAAAATGTAATCCATCCAATGCTCACCTTATGTCTCACCAGATGCCTGGAAGCCAGATTATTTCTTCTTTTAAAGATTTATTTTAATTTATTGCTTTATTTTAAATAAAATTATGTTTTATTTGTTTAACTTAAATAATTTTATTATTTCATTTTATTCTCTATTATGGTTCTATGTGAAGGTAGAGTGGGTGGGCCTTTAGTTCGGCAGCAGCAGAAAATCCAGCACAGGTTCAACTCTTCACCAAGAAATTTATTTTGTAAACATTGTCTAGCTGGGTGTTTCAAATAAAACTATAATTGCAACATTCAGGTGGTAGAGGCCGGAGGATTACAACAAGTTGCCAGACAGCCAGGAAATATAGCAAAACTAAGGTCCTTTGGAAAAAAAACAGGCTTGATGAGGAGGAGGAGGAGGAAGAGAAGGCTGTAGGCTCATGTCTCATGGTAGAGACATGCCTTGCACACAGGAAGCCCTGAATTTGGTTCCCAACCTGTTCCCAGGAGGACAAGCCCACCATAATGCAAATAGCTTCATGAATGCAGGGAACATGACTCCATTAGAGTTTGATACTGTTAGGATTTTTAACAAAACCTGCTTCTGGGTTGCCTAGCAACTTATGATGTCATCATGTGTTGCTGGCCAGGTGGCCACACCTGGAAGGTGTGATTACCTTGCCAGTTAAAGGGACAACTGTGGTCTCTCTCTCTTGGTTCTTTCTCTATTGGGGCTCCCCCTCTCTCTTTCCCCTTCTCTTTCTTTTCCTTTCTCTCTCTTTCCTCCCTCTCTCTTTCTTTCCCCCATCATGTCCTGCTCTCCCTGCTCTCCCTTCTCTCTCTCTCTCCATATCCACCTAATAAACCTCTTTTATATATAAGATCTGTCATATGCCTAATCATCTTTATTTAATTTTGTCCCATAACCTTACAGATACACCATATCAGATCATTTCTATCATTCACTAACACCAAAAATAAATAAATAAATAAAATTCAGCCTAAATTCTACAAAATTGTAGAATTTTGTTTTATTCTACAAAAATAGAATCAATTTTTTAAATATCTAAGTTAAGTTAGTGAAAACTAACTTCATTGCCTCCTCTGAGGCATTCTTTAATGAAATCAAACTCTTTTGTAAATAAGGATAATATCGCTGGAGATGATGAGGTTTGATTTAATGCTCCCTTGAGATGACAAGGCTTATTTTTATAAATTTATGTGAGAACACATACAATGTTATATGATTGTAAGAGAAGGAGAGAGAGAGATGTGTGTGTGTGTGTGTGTGAGCATGTGTAGGTGCAGGCTTGTGCCAGTGTGTCCTGTGTGAAGGTCAGAGGATAATTTTAGGGGAGGACACTCACCTTCCAACTGGTTCAAGACAGGTCTCCTTGGATTGGCTGACCCTTGAGCCCAGGGAGATTTTCCTATCTCTGTCTCCCTTTTCATGCAAGATTTCTGCGCAACCCCACGTGGCTTTTACTCATGTTCTGGGAATGCAAACTCAGATTTTCAGGCTTGTATGGCAACTGAGCCATCTCTCATCCCTCATTTTGTTAATTTGGAAAATTTTCATAATGTGCAGTCATGAAAAGAGAAAGGAAAAGTAATATTTTCAGAGATGTTAAGCTCACAAAGTATTTTAGGGCCCATTAGAGGATCTAAAAGGCAAAACAACATTAACAATACAACAGGAAATGTCTCCCTCCTGGGGCTGGAAAGCTAGGGCACTGGTGGGGTACAGAACCTAGGAGCATAAAACAGGCCCC